TGTGTGTAAGCAGTTGAAAAAAACCTGTAAGAAAAACTAATAACTAGATTGAAAAGTTTGAAAGACAAATTTATGCTGGCTTGTCTTATAAAGTCTTGTTTAAAAAACTTAAATGGTTTGGTCAGTTAGATGTTCTAGATGCTTGCTAAAGTGTTGCTAGTTGGTTGCTAGGATATTCTGGGTGGTTGCTAGGCTCTTGCTATGCAGTTGCTGGGGTGTTGCTAGAGTATATGTTGATAGAGTTTGTTCTGGGTGATTACAGACATTCCCACCTCTGTTAATAACAGAAAATCAAACATTGTTATCAAAACTGATCCCGTTTCAGTGCTTTGATAATATTGTATTTCTTTCTAATGTTAGGAAATGCAAAAGTTTTTGTTGCTCTTAAACTTGCACTAAACGTGATTATACCATCTAAGTAGCCTATGTAATTTTAATAGAACTGCATGTCTTCTTTAGTGATATAAACTCAGAAACATTTATAATCTGTTGAAGCTTTTTATATTGTGCATTGACTTGGTGCCATGATGGATATTGAAATGTTATTTATTTTTCATTTTAAACAGTATAGATAATTACTTAATGGTAATACAATATTTGTGAACACAACTGTGTATGTCAGACCATAAATCCCCAAAAACTATGCATGGGGGCTTGCTTTGGTGTTGCCACCCCTCATAGACCCCATGCCACCCTAAAAAATATCTTCTAGATCTGCCCCTGTGCTTAGGGCCCCAAAGGCTCGGGCCGGCCCTGATGGGGAGAGACATAAAGGGGGCAAACGGCCGGTCATATGTTAATGAGATTGAACCAGAATTTTTTTCTAATTTACACAGATTTACACAGAGCTGGAGGCTATGAAAAGAAAATGAAGAAGAAAATGAAAGAGCAGCGAAAACAGAGGAAGTCTGTCTATGAACCCTCTCTGAAAGATCGTCTCAAACTCAGAAGGTTTAAAAAAGGACATCTAGTGGATAGTGTTGAAAAGTACCCGATGACCTAATTCTTCCCAATAGTATGTTCCTGCACAACCGGAGGCTGCAGTTTCAGGACCGCAGTTCTAGGACCGCAGTTCTAGGACCCTATTCTTTTGTAACAGCGCCACCTACCGAATTACAAAAGAATAGGGTCCTAGAACTGCGGTCCTGAAACTGCAGCCTCCGGTTGTGCAGGAACACCCTTCTCAATTCTTCCGCCGGGATTATTAATTCGATGGACACTACTATCTCATGAGGCCAGGGGAGAGGATTTAAGAATGACAGTGAAGCGACGCGACTGATGCTGGTAGGTTATGTGATAGTAACACCATGGTGGATATAATACGAATATCATTTACACTACCCACATTCACACGATATAGAACATACTTTTTAACGGGCGCTAAGTAAATTCAAATACGAATGTAGTAGCCTACATACTCAATACAGTAGGCCTACGCGATTTCGGACGCACCGCGTGTCTACACCAGACGCGAGCGGCGCGACGCGACTAAAGACAATTTATTATACTCGGTGCTGCTGTCTGCACTGAATGCAGCAAGGCGGCGGGACGCGACACGAAAATGTCCCGACAGCAAACTGATGCCCTGTTTTATTTCTGACATACTCCAAGCGCTCACGCTACTTTTGACAAGAAGAACAAATGGATTTGTCTCGTCCAGTGTGGACAGCTTCCGGCGCGACGCGATGCGACAGCGGTTGCGTTTACTGTAGACACGGTGTCATAACAAAAAAGGTAGTGAAAGACACAAGGTCCCAAAAAAAGAAACATAAATCTAATAAATAAGGTATACATAATAACTAACTAAATATGTGTGCAACATTCTCTTTGTGTCACATTCCACACACTCTGGAACGCTTCCCATTCCAACATTCCAGTGTCATTTCAAATGTACTGTAGCTACACTTGGAAATTTCCCCACAGAAACCAAACCTGGGAATGTTAAATAGTGATTGTGGAAATGAGCCTAAAGAAATCCCTAAAAGTTAGTGGAAAAATATTTTCTTGCACTTATGAACTGTCTTAAAATATTTTCATAGATCCTATAACTGCTCTCAGTTCTTTTATGATAATTAAGTTGGCCTGAGAAAGCCAATTTACTGAAATCCGACTTAAACTTATAGTTTATATCACGCAATTCTGACTTGATTTCTCAGAATTGACAGTTTATATCTCACAAATATCATGACCTTTTAACTCGCAATTGCGAGTTTATACCATGCAATTCTGAGAAAAAAGTCAGATTTGTGAGATAAAAAGTCGCAATTACCTCTTTTATTTTTTATTCAGTGGCAGAAACGGGCTTCCATACATTCCAAACCCATATGACTATTTTTCTGTGGAACACAAAAGGAGATGTTTTACACTGTTTTATATAAAAGTATCTGAAAGATGGTTTGAAATGAACAAGAAACATATTTTTATTTCGTCATCGGAAAGTGTTAAATACATGGACTTTTTCTTCCATTTTACTATCATCACAAAATCTTGGTTGCATCTGCGACCTTTCTCTACTCTATTTGTAACGCGTAAAAGCATATGTGAGCAGTGTGGTGTTTATTGTGGGGGCAAAACACAACCATTTATAGGCAAAGAAAAGAACACTCATCACAGTCACACCAACAGTTTCCTGTGTGAGTTCTGTTTTTACACTGTTGCTGGCTGCTTTTCCCATATTTCAGAAGCCTTAGAGTATCATTTTAACAGTTTAAAACGTATTGTAACATATTTTAGGTTCTTTTTCATCCAGCTCTGTGTATCTTTTACACAGTTTTCATTTCTTTAACTGGGGACCCTTGTGCTTATTTACTTACCCTTGTCTTTTCACAGTTTAATAGTAATGACTTTATGAATTTCTTTACTGATAAAATAGATAACATCAGAAATAACACACACAAGTTTATATATATATATATATATATATATATATATATATATATACATTACATTGTATATAGTTATTTAATAGGTTATTTTAAATTAATAACATTTTACTTTACTTCTGCTTTTTGGATTTAAGACCGAATCTAATCTCAGTCTTTTCATAGATTTCAACATCCTTCACTTCTTCATTAGATTTTCTGCTGGTATTAAAATGAGCTGTATTGGTGGTAATGGGCAGATGCTGAACTGCAGTTTCCGGCGAGACACTGTGACTCCACCACAGCTGAAACAACAGGTCACTCATGCCTGCATTGCTGTTTAGTCTCATGAAAAACTATTTAAGGTAAACTATCATATTTGTTCGGAATTAGGAATTATTTAATTGTAAATGGTTACAATTGTCAAGACAAACAGACAATAAATTATGCTTATATAATGTCATCATGTACATTTAAACTGCTTGATTTCTAAATACACAGCTCACCTCAGATGACTCTCAGAATGTTTGCTGCAGATCTTCTGGTATTCAGCTCTATTCTATCAGGTTGGTCTTTTTTTCTTGTTTGCATATCAAAGTTTGACAACCATAAAGTTAATTTTATTTTATTCATTTTACACACACACACACACACACACACACACATACATATACATATGTATATAATTTTGTTAATTATTATTAAGTCTAATTATAGCACATTTGTATTCCAGCTGCTTGGGGTCAGTCAGTCCTGAGCGTATCACTCCCCAAAACCCTCAACAGCACCAGCGGCTCTTGCCTTCTGATTCCTTGTCTATTCAACATTTCAAAAGAGAAAGAAAACATTCTTGACAGTTCACCAGAAGCAACATGGAGACGAGGATCTCTGTGGTCACTCTATGATACAGATCGTTTCACCATCGATCACCGTCAGAAGGAACCTGTGATGGAAGTGCTGGGTGACCTACGAAAGAAAAACTGCACTTCTGTCATGAGGAACCTCACCAGCCTGCATTCAGATCGTTACTACTTCAGGATTCAAGCTGAGAACTTCGGTGCGACTGGAACAAGAGCTGTGCATATAAATGTGTCAGGTAAGTCCGAGCAAATGTTTTGATAATAAACCAAGATACTACCAAAACCAGGTGTTTTCAGTGGCACCAAATCTTTGAAAAATGACACTATTAATAAGCTAGATATAGTTGTAAAAAATTTAATCGAGTGACAGTTTTTTTCGCTAGAACCCTTTTTTCAATATTTGGTCACTTTTCCCACAGTTCTCCTAAACAACGTTTAGCTCAGCAGTTAATTTCACATTCAGAATGCACTAAAACTTCCAAAACACTCATTCTTCAATCAAGTCATTCTTTTATGACACTAGCAAAGCTTGTCAGCCAGCAAGCACACTTTATCACTGATATTGATATTCATACTGCACATGCTCAATTAGCCCTATGTTTATACAACTGGCCCCAGTTCAGTAAACTTTCACAGAGGTTAACAGTAGTAGGCTATTATTACATTTAGTGTCTTGATTCAATTAATATTTTGTAGTTCAAATGTATTGTAATACATGCAATTAACCAAATGTAATTAACCAAAACATGGTTGTTACTTGTTACGTGAAATAGTTTTTTTTCCATTTATTTTTATTTATTTTTTTTACAGCCAGTTTAACTTATTGAAGACCCTGTCTGTGAACAAATAAAATAAATAAATTGAGAAATTATATTTACGAATGATTTTAATTACATTTTAATGAATGTTGCAACTGCCACTGTGGACTGTTGCAACCATCCCCTATTATGGGGTCAGTTGCAACATTTGACTTTGTCTATTCAAGAGTTAACTGTATATTATGACATGTACACATGTTACAGCAGGTTGGGTGAGTAGCTGACAGATGTGGCTTATTGTTTTAAAATGTAGGCTTTCCAATACAAACCGCCTGAGAAACTGAAGGAAATACAAAAAGTGTTGGAACCGTCCCCACTCGCCACTAAATTTTTACCTACTGCTGAAATCTGTATTAAAAAGTACAAAAAATAAAATAAAAAATCTGACAACTTTTCTCACAATTCAGAATTTTTTTTCTCAAAATTGCAAGTCATTTTGACCAGTATGACTCAAACAATAACTAAAAAAATTATAATTTCGGTTATACAGACATGTAATAAAGTTCCATTGAAACAGCTGTTGACAACTGCATTTACAGTTTAGAGAATGTTAAGACTGTTTGGAAAAAAGATTTCTATAAATTAATACCATTACTATCTCAATATCCGGATAGATTCCTTGGCTGAGCCGAATGTGACTGTGCCGGTGCTCAGGGAGGGTGAGGAGGTGAATCTGACCTGCACTGCTCCAGCTCCCTGCCCCAGTCACCCTCCAAATGTAATCTGGGCTCCTGCATTAGGTGGTGACGTAACACAGAGGACACAGCTGAACGCTGATGGGACTCAGACTGTTTCTGCCATCTTGAATTTCGTCCCGTCGTTCCACCATCATGAGCTGAAAGTGAACTGTGTTTCTATTCATCCTCTACACAGAGAGGACAGACCCCTGCTCAGCCACAAGATGGTCATCCTCAGTGTGGAGTGTGAGATTTTAACCCAACACATTTTGTAGCTTTTTTCTTTTTATTGTTGTTTGTTTTGAAAATGCACACTCTGTTTCTTTTCTTTCCTGCCCCAGATCCTCCTAAGGAAACATGGATCTCTCTCACAGGCTTGGTCTGGCTTGGTGATAAAGTGACCCTCACCTGTCAAAGTAATGCCAACCCTCCTGCTGTCCACAGGTGGTTCAAGAAGAGAGCAGGTGTAGAGGAAGAACTGGGCATCTCACATGTGCTTTCCTTCACTGCGGCCCATGAGAACACTGGGGAATACATTTGTGAGGCACAGAATCAATATGGTGCAATGAACTCCACAAACCTACAGATCACCGTCATAGGTCAGTCTGTTCAGTTTCACCAATGTTACACTTCAGTTTTTCTCAAACATTTTGGCCCAATGTCTCGAATCAGAACACTTTTCCAGTAAGTTTAGATCTCTGAACAGTTAATTTCTTGTTCACACCTAATTTGAATTTCTTATTCTTTACCGTTTTTTTTTTTTTTTTTTAATAATCACTAGGACCCATTTCTCAAAGTCTTCACATAGTGAGCACAATGTAGGCTAAAATCTGGATCATTTAAAAACAACAACAACAATAATAATAATAATGATAATAATAATAATTATTATTATTATTATTATTATAAACTTAATTTTATATAGTGCCTTTTTATTTGCTATATATAGCAGCTTTGTAAAGTTGGTGGGGGAAACAAGAGTAGCATTACTTAAGTTTAAATATTGTTCAAACAGAGAAAAAATGTGTCTTTAGAAAAATGTCTTCATCTAAGAAACACAATCAGAAAGGAAGCAAACATCAAGATTTCCACCAGATTTTGAGTGTATATAGATTGTTGTAAAAACGATAATGGAGGCAAGGGATGTCCAAGTGGTGATAAAAAGATTAAAGGGCCTGATATTGGGGCCTGAGGAACACCATGAGTACAAAACTGATCTCAGACCTGTAACCACCCAAATTAACTGGTGATGGTCAGTAACATTTTATTTTAGATTTAAACCAGTTTAAGGCTGTCCCCAAACAACACTATCAAGATGAGTAAGTACCATAATAGACTATGATCAACAGTATCGAAAGAGGCACTAAGATAGAAAAGGAGGAGGACAGAAATTGAGCCAGAATCAGATGCCATCAACAAGTCTTTGGTAACTTTGACCAAGGCCGTTTCAGTACAGTGAAATTTATGAACACCTGACTGAAGGGGTTCAAGGTGGTTATACAAGCTAGAAGCAACAGCAAATTATTTTTTCCAAGAACATAAGATTTGAGACGGCGTGATAATTGTAAATAGTTGTCCAGGTCAGCATTTATATATATATATATATACAGCGTTACATCAACAATTTTTAATGCTGCTCCTTTGTTTTTGCAGGCATATCCTTCACTGCTTTCCTCTCAATTTTGACAGCTTTATCATTGCTCATATTTGCACTTCTTGCACTTCTTATTCTTATGATTTACAGAAGGTAGGATCTTGCTAGATTTCTTTTTTAATTATGTATCCTATACATTATTTGAGATAATGTTTTCTTGTTTTGGTATATGCAGGTGGAAAGAGCCAGTCAGAAGTGTAAGTATGTTTTCTGCCATGGTATGTTCTTCATGAAGTTATAACACAATAGAAGTTCAAAGATCATTTATCAATGCATTTCAGGAAACAAGCCAAGATCAGAACATTTATACCAATGTGTCCGCAAGTGCAGTGAAAAGCGAGCAGCTCCAATCAAAGCCATGTGAAGATGAGAACACCAGCACCATTAACCCTGAACACACATTCAAACATGATCTCCCCGACGAAAGCATCTACGCAAACTGTTGAAGTGAAAAGTAGCATGTTTTAAAGGGGTCATGTGATGTTGCTAAAAAGAACATTATTTTGTGCATTTGGTGTAATGCAATGTGTTTATGCGGTTTAAGGTTCAAAAAACACATTATTTTCCACATACTGTACATTATTGTTTCTCCTCTATGCCCCGCCTTTCTGAAACGCGTCGATTTTTACAAAGCTCATCGGTCTGAAAAGCGAGGTGTGCTGTGATTTTGCTTTCACAACGAAACACAGCGTCACACACGGCGGTCTACAGTGAGCAGAGGCCGGGGGCTAGCGTGAGGAACGGCGTGAGGGTTAGAGTGAGCAGAGGCGGGTGGGCTTGAGAACGGCGCGGCCGTCAATTTCGATGAAGGAGCGTCCGGAAGGACATGTGACGACTCCGGGCTGGACTCTGCTTCGTCCACTGTGAAAGCCGATCCGGCGATCCACAGCGCAAAGTTGTAGTATTTCCTCAGCGATCAGCACAGATCAGCTCCAGGCATGAATAAGCAGATATCGTCCTCTTTTGGAAGGCCAAACAAAGTAGTTTCGCTTTCACAACGAATCACACAGTGCCTTCACGACATGGCGGCGGCAACAATACTACAGCGAGAATAAAAGTTGCGCCTTCTTTCTTTGCGTGAACATTTGGGCGGCGTTATGTAAATCTTCCCACATCGTGACGTAGACATGTGGGGGCGTGTTAGAACGAGACGTTTTAGGTAGGCGTGGCTGACTCTTAACTTTTATAAAGAATATCTCTTTGGATTTGAGACTTTAATCTTTGCAACTTTACAGATCTTTATGCACCAAGAGCTTGTAACACTCCAAAGAGAAAGGAAAAATTGAAATCGCATCATATGAACCCTTTAAACATGTTCATGGATCACTGATCAATTAGTCTCAGGATGTCAGTAGTGATTGTAATCAGTATTAGCATATGTACACTTCCCAAAAATCATTTTCATCTATTATGTTCAGAACCATATCTTTGCTACTTACTTCAAAGAGTGAAAATTCTCCAATTCGTTAACGCTGAATCTACACTGAACTACCTGTACCTTTATTTTTTATATTGATGTGATACAATTCCCTTCACGCTTTTACGAATTTTAGCGGAAGCAGCGGTTTGAAGTTAAAAACGTCTTGAAATTGTTTAGCATTGTTTATTAAAAAACACGCAGCTTTTCACTTCATAAGATATTAAAGCAGCACTATGTAACTTTTGGCGCTCTAGCGGTTAATAAACAGAATTGCACACATCCCGCGGAAGTACATTCCAATCGGAGCTACTTCTCTAAGTTTATGTCTATGGCGATTCACGCAGGTATGTGTTACTCCGCAGCGGTGACGACCCGACCAGGCTACAATAGTCCAAATATAAGTACTTATTATAAGTGTACCGTAGTGATTCGGAATAAGACAAAAACGCGGTTTGGAAGATTAATTCATGATGTACTCGCTCATACATTTTGCAAATTTTGAACACAGAAAAAGTTACATAGTACTGCTTTAACAATGGACTGGAGTTAGACACAGTAGTCAACACACGCAACCATACACACACACACACACACACACACACACTATAGCAAATAGCATATAAATTGTTTGTAACATGTCTGTAAATTGTGTAACACTATCTTAAATAAAATATTATTTCTAGGTGTGTTTTACCTATTTTTGTTTTAGCAGGGAAAGTGAATCATTTTATGAAACAACTGGTTCAGTTGATTCGAAGTTTTAAAAAGCTAAATTTCTCCCATACTGTACAGCCCTGGAAGGTGAAGTTTAATCTTTAAAAAAAAAAAAATTCTACACCAGAAAAGTATTAATTGTCTGTGGTGTATAAAATATTGATGAATATTTCACTTACACTTTCTTTGCATGCCATGTTTAAGACTGTCATATCACATTCACTAAATTGTGTAGGCCTAGGTCTACGTGTGGTTTTAGATGTTTGTTGATAACTCATGGTAAAGTTCATGCTGTGCATGATAATCAGTGAACTGCTGTTTCCTGTAGTAGATTTTTACACCAAAGCAATGAAGTTTATTCAATTAGTAAAGGCTGCCCATTTTTGTCTGTTCAGTTTTGTGGAAAACTTGAAAAGTTATTACTCTTAAAAATGAAAACAAAACGTTTAACTGATCAATATTTAATTCATTTGTAAATTAATCACTTTACTCACAACATTTTTTAAATATAAAAGTATCTTATAGATGGTTTGAAATAAACAAGTGTTAAATGTATGGATTTTCATGTGTCTTCCTGCCATTTTATTATCTTCACAAAATCTTGTTTTTTATCTGCTACCTTTCTCTACTGTTATCATATTTGTAACATTGTGTGAAAGCATGTGTGAGTTTTTATCATGGGGGCAAAACACAACCATATTAAAGGCAAACCAAACCAAACACTCATCACAGGCACACAAACATCATCCTGTGTGAGAAGCCTTGGAACATTATCTTAACAGTTTAATTGACTAATGTTTTACTAATCTTTATTAATCTGCAATACAAGTAGAAACATATTTAGCTGCAGTGTAACATTTTAGTTTTTTTTTCATTCGGCTCTTTGCATATTTTGCTGGTTTCTTGTTCTTCCTGATGTATTCATTTCTTTAACTGGGGTCTTGAGTTTATGCACACCATAAAATTAATGCTAAAATCATGTCTGAACCGTAAACATGATTTAAAAATATATATATATTGCATAAAATTAATCAATAGATTGTTTGAAATAAATGAGAATAACATTTTACTTACTGCATTTTTGCATTTAAGACCTCTTAAATCTTTTCTCGATCTAACAGATTGCAACATCCTTCACTTTTTTTATATTAGATTTTCTGTTGATGTTAAAATGGTGATAATGGGCAGATGTTACTAAGTGAACTGCGGTTTTCTGCTGAGACACTGTGACTCCACCACAACTGAAGCAAGGACAGGTCATTCTTGTCTGGGTTGCTGTTTAGTCTCATGAAAAACTATTTAAGGTAAACTATTACATTTGTTTTGAATTTTAAATTATTTCATTGTAAATTGTTATTGTCAAGACAAACAGACAATAAGAGATGCTCAGCTATATGTTGTACATTTAAACTTGATTTCTAAATACACAGCTCACCTCAGATGACTCTCAGAATGTTTGCTGCAGATCTTCTTGTATTCAGCTCTATTCTATCAGGTTGGTCAGGTTTTTCTTCATTGTTTTACTTTCAAAGTTTAACAATCAGAAAGATAATTTCATTCATTTTACACATTTATTATTTTGATATATAATGCAATATATGAATTATTAAGTCTAATTATAGCACATTTGTATTCCAGCTGCTTGGGGTCAGTCAGTCCTGAGCGTATCACTCCCCAAAACCCTCAACAGCACCAGCGGCTCTTGCCTTCTGATTCCTTGTCTATTCAACATTTCAAAAGAGAAAGAAAACATTCTTGACAGTTCACCAGAAGCAACATGGAGACGAGGATCTCTGTGGTCACTCTATGATACAGATCGTTTCACCATCGATCACCGTCAGAAGGAACCTGTGATGGAAGTGCTGGGTGACCTACGAAAGAAAAACTGCACTTCTGTCATGAGGAACCTCACCAGCCTGCATTCAGATCGTTACTACTTCAGGATTCAAGCTGAGAACTTCGGTGCGACTGGAACAAGAGCTAAATTCTATTTTGTTTTTCAGCAATATATATTGTGAAATTAAAAAAATACAGGAATTTTCACAAGGTGGCTTGAACAGCTTTGTGTAGAAAGAATGAATTATTCTAGAGTTAGTGGGGTGAATTTATTCGGAAGTAATCTGCATAAAAAAGATTTAGGCTGCATTCATTTTTAAACATAATGCTCTGCAGTGAATGGGTACCATACCATTATCTCTTCTCAATATCCGGATAGATTCCTTGGCTGAGCCGAATGTGACTGCCCAAATTCGTAATGAGAATCATTTATAAATCTGCATGCTGTTGTCAACAAAAAGAAGCACGGAGATCTTCCTGTGGGTTTCTGCCAAAATAAAAGCAGAGAAAAGGCAACAACTCCATCAACATTCATAAATGATAGTATTGTAATTTTGCTGCTGTTCTGTAAAATAAAATAAAAAAGACAATAATAATGATAATAATAATTACCCTACAACTCTATTAATACATTTATTATAACATTCACACAGTGTTCAGTTTGGGATCTGTAATATATTCTAATGTTTTAAAAGAAGTCTCTTCTGCTCAGCAAGGCTGCCTTTATTTGTACAGTAAAAATACATGCCTGAATCAAGTCTCAAAAATGGCATTAAAAATGGTTAAAAATTAACTTATTAATTTTAAGTTAAATTGTGCTTTGTTGGCATAATGTCTGCTAGAATGTTAATATTATATATTATAATATTATAATGTTATAAAATATTTTTAAATTGTTGTTTTGTAATTGATTTTTTATTTGA